GAGGGTAGAGAGTGGATCATAGAATAGTTGGACGAATTAGTGCACTGCGACTAAATTGTGAAACTTTCCATGGGATTAGAACCACCTAATGGTAGCCACCTGCGCTGTTCTACATTGCATGCTTTACCCGTTGATCTATGAAGCCACACCAATAGCACTAATCTTTTCGCATTCGAACCACCCATCCAAGTTACACAGACGCACGGAATCTGAACTGCGATATTATGTTTGAATGAGCCCATTTGGTTGCTTACAGGTACCAGACACCTTTATTGTTCTACTGCACATAAGGGTATTTAACTGATGAAGAATTCCCGGTCTCTCAAGGGGTGAAATTTATACTAAAGATTGAACAAAGTGCCTGACGCCTGTGAAAAACCAAACGAGCCAATCTAAACCTGAGTGAGCAACTTACTTGAGGTGCTGACTGTCGACCGCGCTCACCTTAGGGGTTAGGGTTTTGAGTCTCAACCCGAAAGTTCGCGCATCGAATCGCGAAGGGGACACTAAAAAAGCGCACTGCTCACGAGTCTAGACGAAGACGAAACAATGTTTCAGTGCTCTTTGTCTCTCTCTTCACTCTGAATCCAACAGCATATCGTTACAATGGTTCCGGTGCCAGATGAATCGTCACCAAATGTAAGCCCCTAAGCGACGAACAAGTAGCTCGGTTCTTATAGAAGTGGGTTCCACCAATTAGGTGCAACTGTTTGAGCAACTTGAGAAATCTGTTAGTATAGTAAGGAGGAGATCACGAGAAAATTTCTTTCTTTATTGACGTAATTTGTGTCGTAAAAAGATGTTTATCAATTGTGGAGCTTCGTCCGAAGTGGCAATCCGTTGTGTTGACTACCACACAGTAACCATAGGTTAACTCTAGTTTGAGATGGGGTTCAAAACCAAATTGGGCAGTTGCCACTATGTTATCCGTACACAGGTAGTGGCGCATTCACATTTAACAATTATTTCTGCTTCCCATCACATGTGGAAACAACCTTTTATTTTTCGAATTGGAATATTGGTGCTTAACATCTTAATCAACAATGGAAGGTCAGCGGGGCTTTTGTGTGGAGGTTACACAATGAAGAAAGATTTGAACTGATAGTCTGTTGAGAAGAAAGTTGAATAATGTTTCTCTCTCATGTCCTTTTTTAAATCCTTTCATGCGAACTCAAGTTCCTGAAGATTGAAGGTTATTCGAAAACAAACTTGTTTGAAAATCGAGGACCCAATGTAAAAATTGTTTTCATATGAATCGTGAAATGGCATTTTGGGTCAAAGTACCTGGTATTTGACAAAATTAATGCATGGTTTGCCTGCTAGAAAAGATGAAAAGATTGTAATCTTATTTGGCGTTGGTTGTCAAGGGCCACTGGATAGCTTTTTGTCTCGTTTTCGGACTCGTCAACAGCGCTTGCTTCTTCGAAAGCTCATCAGAAGGCAAACAATGAAACCAGGGTTTGGGAGACGGAACATATGTACATAACTTACACAGTCAAATATTATTCACTTTAATTTCACTGTCAAATATAGACGAATAATATGGAGATTTCATAATTAACGAATCCGCATTTTTACGAGATATAGTGGATATAGCATTATGGCCCCTTAAATCATTTCAAACCACTGTACAAGAAGACCTATCAGAAATAGTTGAGTGGTCTCTACAAATGAACCTCCTCGTGAACCCCGGAGAATGTGATGATGTATTTTTTTCCATTTTGAAAGGTAAAAGTTATGATGAATTGTCAAATACCAGCCCGCCTTTACCCATCTTTAGTGACCAGATGGATTGGCAACTGTCTGTCAAGTATTGTGAAGTTATTTTCAACCGCAACTTTACCTGGTCTGACCACGTTAATAACATTTTCCTGAAGGTCAGGAGGCGCACGCTTTATGTTACACATCTCAAATCACTTTCTTTCCCAAATCATCTCAGAAGGCGTTTTGTCTTTTGCTTGCTTTCTGTCGGTATGTACTTTTATACCATCGGAACATCTGGTATAGCATGTGGTGACACATCACCTCACGGTCTGCAAAACATTTTCCAATAAGATTTGATCTGATATCTCTCATCCCCTTTATTCCGTCCTCAGTCAGTGACCCTCTTACTCATTCACATCTTTCCAGTCATAAACTTATAAAGGCAAGCACTAAAGCTTACAGGAGCTCTACTGTACCGTATCTTGCCAGATTTTTTTACAAACTATGAACTTGCTGCAGAAAATCTGCACAAAATGCTAAACTACATCAATCATAGACACCCGGGGAAGCCATTATTTGATTTTGATGTTGCTTCGCACTTCAATTCCTTCAATTGCTGTATTACATTTCAATATTTTTTAGTTGTTGACTCACTGGTCATGTAGTTGCTGAATATCCAGCCCCTCTCGGGATTTAAAAAGTGATTCCTTGATTTGACATGATTAATATCTGTGTGATTTTATCCGCTCTGATATTCGTAAATCTCGTGGAGAAATACCTCTGTTGTGAAAATAAATTCTTTACATAAAGACCACAGTCAGTTAAGTCCTTTTGCAGTGTATCAATGTGGGGCAAAGTGCATTTTATCGGCTCGATCTCTGTGCATGTGATAGCAATTCACGTTCAATACAAGACATGATTGATACTATTAGATTGTGTCAACATGAACGCAATAGCTGGTGCTAACCCCAACGGAGTGGTACTAATGTGTGCAAGACTGAATGCGCATCCCGGTTCGAGCAGCCATCATACACGAATGGTTTCAAAATAGTCGGATAAAACAGATGTATAGAATGCATCCAATTCGGCTTAGTAACGTTGATCAATCAATCAATCAATCATGATTTAGTCATTTTGTCGTCTGCTGCGGAAATAACATTCATCAGTCCAAGATCAATAGCCAACGAGAAACTACGATTAGTGAAATAATCAAACCAACATTCGACTCACATTAATCCCCCATGCCACAGTAGCTTCATCTAATTGTTTTTTCAATTTGGCATCGATTTGTTCACGATAGGATAATAATTCACCCAGTCGATAGTTTCCGATGACCGTGCGCAACAAACTGACCGCCAACATTTCAGCCGATACAGACCAATTTTGAACGCATAGCAAAGCCTGTGCCGGATGAATTACACGCATATAGACAATCGCGTCCACACCGACCGTGACCGAGTCCCGAGTTAGCACATCTTGTGGTGGAATGTTAACCGTGACCGTACGCATGTCCACTTTCATCATTTTGTCCACAAAAGGTAAGAGAAATTGTATCCCTGAGCCGAGGATGGGAGATCCGTTCTGTTTGCGCAATTTGCCCAAACGTAGTACTATACCACGTTCGTAGGATTGAATCACGGTGAATGAGAACCATACGGTCAGTGGAAACAAGATCAGGTAGAATAGAAATGCCAATGTGATGAATAAATAGCCGCAACATCCATGTCCCTCTGGTTCCAGATCGATTGGTTCGGTCAGTATCGGTGCCGGGAAATCTTGGGGATCGGGGATTGGGGTCACTTGGACATGAGCGGAAGGTGATGTAGGTCGAGCACGTCTACGAACCCGTTTGTTGTCCTCCACGTTCGCATCAGTTTCATTTTCCTCGAACAGCTCACTCATATGGGAAATAGCGTTTTTCAAATTCTATCACTGTTTGCACTGTGCGAAGTGGGAACGTTAGTTATATGGGCCACGCACAACGGTAGTCAGTGCCAGGATTGGTCATCCCCTGTTGCTATGGTTGCCGAAATAGGGTGTATCATGGAAACAAACAACAACTGAATATTATGTACTCATGTCAAGTTACTGGGTTCTCATAATTCTGATAAAGGTCATGGAGAATTCAATAAATTGCCGGTTAAAAATAATCGAATGATATAATTCACGGAAAAAACAAATGCTGCTGATCACAACTATATTCCAAACACCACGAATGATTAAATGGTTGTACAAAATTTAGCATCAGAAATTCGTTATGCCCATAGATGACTTTTCTTCTGCACAATGCTCGGACTCGATTTTGAAGAAAAACGTTGATTCTGCAATAATCTGAGCATACCCCAGTTACAGGATAAATGAAAGTGTGAATTTTTGTCTCTGGTGGGTTGTATTTCTACACCAACCTACTGATCATAGATATTCCAAGATCATCTGTTTTTTTATTTGGAGGCAATGGTGAACTGGGTCCACACCGGTCGGGATCTGAGTCGGACGTGCCCGTGTATCAGGAGAACCGGATCATGCTGCACAATTGATCCGTCAAAATCTGGCACCCTAAGTCACAGTCTGAGCGGATCGAATTTGCGCGAGTAATCTCGGTAAAAAGAAGGCCAAACGATGGTAACTTTTTCCCTTTGCGGGTTTTTTGTACCGAATAAAGAATAAATAAACAATCAGTTAGGAGAAAGCGGAGTCGTGAGCGTTTATTGAAAAGAAAGCTATCCACCTTAGCTCAGCGAGTGTCCTAGATACAATTGAACAACGATCTCGATTTCTGTATCAACTGAATCCAATTTGGGAT